AATGCCCGCAATGCACTCTGGTAAAATGTACATGCCGCCATCTTTTTCGTTACGGTCAATTGAAGTTATGCATCTTGCATGGGTCACTGTATCTATATTCTATGCATGCATGCATGCTGTAGCGTTTACATCATGCAGTGAAAAAGCTTATATAAGTGCATGGAATAATTTCAAACGATTAATTTATTATATATACCTTTTCTGAAAAAGCATACTCCTCACTGTCATTTCTAACTTTATCTCTTTGGTCTGCGCTAGCAGAACTTCTAGCCGTCACTTTACTTTTACTTGACAGCTTAACAGGCAAACTTTCCTCTTCCTTTATAGCTCTGCCTTTATCTTCCAGGCTTGTACTAGATGAGCTCCTAGTCGTACGCGTTCCTTTAGGTTTATTAGACAGCCGTAGCGACGTTTCAACCGATACCTAAACGTGAAACAGCCGTGAAAAGTCCCGATCCAGTATCTGGGGATCGATATCGCGCAGGACTGCATGGCAATAAGAATTTGGCAGTGTATAGGCCGAGCCGACAAAACCTGTAAAAATAGTTGACAAGCTCAAAACGATAAAACCAAGAAAAATACTAAACACCAGAGATGACATACCGGCCCAATTGATGGGGGATAAATGTTCAGATCATTGGTATCCACCATGCTTCGACCTTGCTCACCCGAATCTGATGGTGATACAACAGGATTACCATGCAGATTGGAGCTCTTTGCAGTTGTTCTTCTACTCATTTCTGCGTTTATCGCGACGAAACAACTTTTGCTGAATAAGAAAAAGTATATTTTTATTTATACTATAATGGACCAGAAACGTCCTCCCTTTTACCCTTTTCTGTTAGCTACCCATGGTTATATACTTCGCAGTCAAATTAAGCAAATAACGAATTGGCAAAATTCACTCACGTAATTCATGCAATGAACAAACTATCACTGCCAGGGGTGGCTATATGGCGCTTGCTATGGCCTCCCCAAATACATGTGTATGAAGAATCATATGGAAGAACGCATGTTTTTTATACAAACAAATAGCAATTTTCGAATAGAACATCACTGACACTGCATGGTATGTATTTATACCTTGGGAACGGCTTATCTCAACCGGGAATATACATGCATGCAGACTATATATATCGCATGCATATATATATATATATATATAACATACATGTATTTATAATCATTTTTAAGGCCGCGGTCGGACAAAACGATCAACTTTTAAATTCATGCAGTCCCTTCTCAAAAACTGAATAAAGTATTCTTCCGGCCCTGATCATCCTATGTCAATGACGACTACAGTCTCTTCAATTTTTATGAAGCTGAATTTCTAGACTCCTTTTGGCTTAATTTGGTCATAGACAATTACGTGGAGCTGGCTTTGGTATAAACAATTCAGTACGTGGAGCAATCATGCAGTGACTGCAAATTTCGTATTTAATCTTAGGATATGATTCAGGGGGATTCACGAAAGATAAATAAGGTTATCACTTATCCATGCCACTGGATAGTGAATATTTCAAACGGAAAAAACACCCACCAACTAGTTGCCGCTTTGGTTGCTATATATAGCCAATAAAGACTGAACCTCGCAATATTAAAGTAAAATCGTTTTCAATATACTTTATAAATTAGATACATTATAGCATTTTTAGATTTTAAGATGGTTGAAAAATCACTATACAGTAGATACCTCTATTCTGTATTCTTCTATACGAAATTGTTTCTAGTTTCTAAACTGACACATGTTGCATGTCAGATAGCGCGGTTGTTTTTTCTGAAGGTTCACACGCGAATCCTGTATAGAAACGGCTCGTAAATCAGTCGACTTTTTTATCTGCATGTGGATAAAAAAGTAAGTGATTCCTTTTTTATTCAGCCGTTTCAAGTTTCTACCCTGCATTTCTGGCCATTCGTCTTTGAAATAGGCCGTCCTTGCGCCACAAGCTTTCTTCAATACTAATAGTCAGCCTGCAAGTTTAGAACGCTAAAAAATGTTTGGGAATAAACTGCGTCGGATAACAAAGACGGTCCTGTCCGGGCATGCTCTTCAGTTTACCAGCTGGGTTTAAAAATTATTTTATTCGCGTATTGAAACTGTGAACATAACGATAATACTGGAAAGAACAGCGATAGCATGTCCTTGTAGTTAAAAATCTCTTTATACATCTCGCAGATCTTCGTATATTGCTCGGTTCTATAACAGGAATGAATGAATCCGCGGGATTGCTATTGTCAGTGATTACGAATGCAACTGCAATTTTTCATATAGCTAAAGCTAATGTCTATGCCCAGCTAGCAAAATCGAAAGCATTTTACGATTGCAGTAAAACGTGCTTTACAAGATTTAAGAAGCACGGTAAATTTTTCCGTAAATATCAAGCATGCATATAAATTCTTGCGGCGGATTTGTGAAATCCTAAATAAATATGTTATTGCGCAAACCAAAGATATATTAATGAAGGAAGTGAAACAATGATAGATACAGTTGTGCAAATCTAGCAGCTCTAGCCTGTATATGCCACTTACAAAAATGTATCAGCCAATCCTTTTGATATTTCTTCTCGAATTATTATAGCTGTTCTTTTCCACCATATATTCTTTCACAAGAATAGCGCAAGATATTGTTTTGCAATTCGGATTATTATTCAGTCTGACTCTCCGAGAATAGCTTCGTGTTTTCTTGGAAGTTGAGTCCCCGTTTACACTATACCGGATTCGCTTGTCACGATATCTTCGTTTGCCTTTAAAGGGCGATGGCTAGTAGCAAATACTTATTAGTTTGACAAATTTGGTATATTTAATTTGATCTCTGGCTGTAAGATTTTTTACTGCTATTTAAAAGCTACAAAATTTGACCCACTACGGAAGCCGTCCGGTCACAAGGTATAGCGCAATTTGCACCCACTGACCTACACTAAATGGACCATATGGATGGACTGAGCTGAGCGCTCGACATAGAATACCAATGCCTCCTCTAGTGTTATTTATCTGTATGGCGCTCGACTATAGCCTCCTCCGCAGGCATATCTTATGTATTAAAAATATGCATATTTGGCTTGGAGCTAACCCATGCTTAATAACCTAATATAATTTAACACATAAGAGATGCCTGCGGAGGAGGCTATATACATGCATGCATATTAGCTTGTTATAACAGTCCGCAATTGTTATCCTAATCGTGCTGGATGGATCAGTCTTACTCCTTATCAAAAGGACAATACGAAACGTCATTGCCAGCCACGGACTATTAGTTTAGGCCCAGCATTTATGAAAATTGAAAACCGAGCTGACTCTCTTTTACGAAACTGTTTATTTAACTGTTTTCGATCTAATTAACATGATACATGATACAAATGAATACATCGCATGTATGTACTTTACATTATTTAACAAATTTACTCATACGAGTACAAAATCTGGCTGACAACAGTGACTAAACATGCAACAGGGAAACAGTGCAGCTATAAATAAAAAAAACTATTCATAAAAGACAATAAAAATCACTACCTTTCAAAGAGCTTATAAATTAAACCTCAGCATGCAACGCGTTAAATTACACGCAAAACGAATCTTGTCCATGATTGCAGTGAATATCGCCAGTTATATCAAAATTTTAAATTTTTCACTGTTCAAATCAAAGCCAGCTGTTATTATATAATTATAGTTACTAATACATTTATTACTTTCGTACTGGGGATTGAGCATTCCACATATTGAGTATACTTGGGGATATATATGGAGTCAATACAGCTGCATACTATGGAGTCAATATAGCTGTATATATACAGTAGGAGGCAAAAGTTTGAGTCCAGTCGTTGTAGAATTCCAGTATTAAACCCTGGCAGTGTATTCGAGTAAGACATGCGTATTAGTGTTTCAGTACTGTAAACCATATTAATTACACACTGTTTTGGTCCTAATGATCTAAATTATAACAAAATAAAGTTCTTATTCCTTTACACTGCCCAAGATTGGTGGGAAAAAGGGCAAAGTGATGGTGCACAAGGACAAATAGTTGCATTAAGTATTGAGGGATTCTTTCCTCGTAAGATCGCAGAAAAAGTGAGAATTTAAAAAGGTGGTATGCAACTAACCTTGGAGAGGTTCGAAGAAACTAAATCCTACTCAAGCAAACTTTTAGCTTCTTCCGTCATGCTCGGTTTGGCAATATTGAAAGATATAATAGGATCCTAATTAAAGTAAAGTATCATCCAATTCTTCAAGGACATGGAATTTCATCTGGTACAAGGATGATCGCGTGTGTAACTACATGATAATCCCCATAAACACCTGCACATCTTCTATGTGCCAGAAATCGTTTAGAAGCAAACTCGTTTTGGTGATCTCGTTCTCATGGCTTTCCACCTCAAATTCCAGATCTGAAACCTATCGAGTACTTGTAGGAACGTTTTACCGGAAAAGGGCGAGGCACAGACCCGCCAGCCAGAATGACTTGAGGCAAGTGGTCAACGAATTCTGGCAAGGTATTAAACGTGCGACATTAAGAAACCTATGGAGTCTATGCCAGCAAGAATAAACGTCATTTCAAGAGCAAAAAAGAGGGACACTAAGCATTGACATGAAATGCATTTTTGCACATTAACATACGTAAAATGAATATCATAACGTCTCATAGTTGTTGTACAGCATGTATTTTTCTGTTTACTCGTGTACTTTTTTGTAGTTCACTTATCGGTAAGGTTTTCTGTAGAATATTAATATATGCTGCTAAAACAATGAAATACAGTCACTGGACTCAAACTTTTGCCTCCTACTGTATATATATATTAATATATATATATATATTTATTATATATATATATATATATATATATATATATACTATGGAGTCAATATAGCTGCATGTATACATATACTATGGAGTCAATATAGCTTCGGAATAAATATATATGGTATCAATATAGCTATAACTGCAATATAGCTATAACTGTAGCTATAATATATCAATTTTTATTAAATGTTACGTTACGAAAAAATATTCCAAATAAAATTATTTATGGCAAAAAAAGATAAAACTATACTTATACAACGAAAAATTTGAATTGGTGGTATTGAGAAGTTACTGGAAAAAACAGGCTGAAGATATCCAAGACTTACTAGAGAAAAATAAATGGAAAAAGTGGTAATGCAAGATAAAAAACGAACTTCTATAAGAGATAGGAAAAGTTTATTTTTATCTAGGTGAAAAGCATGCGGGAAATACTGGTTTGAAAGCATAAGAGTTGCAAACTTCGTCTTGTGGTGGAAAAAAGCAAACTATCTGTCAGGCTTGCATTTAAAATGAAATTTTGCGCAATAGCAGGGTTACGCAGTTACTATGCAGTATGCACTACCTAAATATGCAAAAACTATGTTTCTATTTTAATTGGTATTTATTGTACCCAAAACAGTTGTCCTACACGCCACGTATTAAAAAAGAAGCCACTAGGTTAGAAATAAACTTACATTTGCTTCAGTCTTCTTATGGAAACGGAACCTTGTAAAAAGAAACAACGAAACGATCAACAATTATTTTGGACATAGATGTTTCCCGCCAGAGAAACAAGTGAAAAATTGTTGCCCGCTTCTTGGCATAACAAAGTAAAGTTTTTTTTAAATGAAATTGTTGTGTAATATGTATGTTTTTGTTCCTATAAAACAAAGCACTTAATGTACACTACCTCGGGAGATAGTGAGTTTTGTTTTCCCTCGAGTCTCAATGTTTCCTTCGACTTCGTCTCGGGAAACATTCAGACTCTTGGGAAAACAAAACTCACTATTTCCCTCGGGAGCATACATTAAGTGTATATTGTAAAGATGTGTAGATGTGCAACTGAATATCAACGCCAACGTCATCACATCAAGAATAAGCTTACCATTGGTTCAGGAAAAATTGGCGAGTTATCGGGGGCTACAGGTGCTGCTGCAGGTACAATAGGCTGCCCCATGTTTCGCAGACCATTAATCTAATAGGAATACATATGTGATTACTCAGGAATATATAAAAAACGACGTAAAAGGAAAATGAACTCACGATCTGTAGAAGTTCATGTCGTAAAGCTCGGTCGCTTCGGCTGTCCTCTTCCAGATTTCGAATTCTTCGTCGGAGTTGCTCTACTTCAAGGACCTTCCCCTGATACAGAACTATGATATGACCAAGATCAGCCACTTTTTGTCGAGCCTAAAAAGTAAAAGCAAACGAATGCAAGTCAACTGAGCCCAGCCTCGGGATCTTGTTATTGTGTGGAAAAAGCAGCATTATACATATCTCACGGCCCCGGTTTTAAATAAAAAAATTAAACATTATTTTGAAAGGTTTTGGACGAATTAACGATATATACGGTAAAACGAGCATCAAAATTTCGTATAAAATTTTGTATATACAATTTCGTATCAAAATTCATTAAACTCACGACCTGGCATAATTCTTGTTCGTGGTTCTGGAAATGCTGGAGTTTTTTCTGAAATTGTCCCACACGCTGTTGAAGGACATCATTAGACGCCTCAAATTCATCTGCTCTATTTTTTTGTTCAAGTTTTTCATCCTTCAGCTGCTGACACTCATTTTTGATCGCATCAAGATCAGCCACCTTCTCCTGGAGCTAAAGACGAAAGTAGGCTATATTACGTATTATAGTCGTAATATTGTAAGGGGCTTTGAAAGGGCTGAATCTGCGTCGATTAGAAACTGCTATCGTCGTGTTTCCGTCCTATGCACATGCTAAAGCCTAAGGCCTGATTCACACAAGCTCCTAAGAATCGGAGATCCATTGCATTATTCTCAAACACAGACAAAGGATTTTGCCCACCAGTAACCTCGCACAAAGGGCATACCAGGTTCTTACGAGAAGTGTAAACAACTGCCTTCTAAGGTCTGAGCGACTGAATCTACGATTCATTCCAGATTCATTCTGTAATCTTTGTACCTCTCTTTCTAACTGAATTATTTTCAAATCCTTGTCTTCATTGACATTCTGTAGATTCTGATTTTCTCTTTTAGTAGATTCTAAATCTTGCATCGCCTAAAGTGAGGAACAAATGACATTTGCACAACTGTTCTGGTACTGACACCAATAACTGAAGAAATTAGACATCCTTCTGAAAACACTCCATTTCAACTTGAAAAATTATATTTTCCCAAATCCCAAGTAATTTCAGGTAGTTATATATCATATGCAGAGAAACCAAGAAGTATCACCTTGTTTAATTCTTCCCGTAGTACCGCTTCTGACTTCTCAATCTTTTGTCGTATAATTGCAAACTCTTCTTGTTCATGGCCTTCTTGTTGCTGCAGCAGAATAAAAACTTTGAATGAAGCTAGAAGCCACCAAACCCAAGGTCTCCTCAAAACATCCCATAAATATATTAGCAAAATCCAGAGCAAACCTACCAACAGTTGTGCCCAATGCCTGACACTTTCTTACCAAACTCAAAAAATAATTTTTTATAATTATTTTAGCTAAAGCTATTAATCTATGAATAGGTCATTCTTCCTTTGCTTGCCCCAAATATGAGGACATTAATAATTTCTTGCAAGAAGCCTCACTGTAATGTGGCTAAGTGATCAGAGCTATAACAGTAGTTTAAAAAACCCACCATTTGCTCAAGTCCAGTTATGGTTTGTTTGAGCGAATCAACATTTTCCTCCAGTTCTCTTATCGTTCTTTTGTCTTTTTGTTTCTCTTGAGTTAGTTTTAGTTCCAATGTTTCAAACTGTATATATTATAAAAAACATACAAGTCAATTTGGAAAATCTTTTTTATCAATATCATGCGGGATGTATAGGAACAATAGAGACAGTGTGACTACAGATGCAATTTTTTTCAAAAAAGCTGCTTTAATCCAGTTAGACTGCAGCCTCTGGTCCCAATGTAATAAAGTTTGGAATCCAGGAATCTAATGTAAAGAAACACTAGATCTGGTCACACTGAGAAACAAAAATTAAATAAAACAATATGAGGGTATCTTTAAGTTAATACAGTTATGTAATAGATTTACTACATACATAAGTATAACTATACAGTAAATAGAACTTTAATTTAAACAATTAAAACAATCACCTCGTATATTTTATTTTTCAATGATTCTTTCTCCCTTTCTGAGGCCTTGGCCTCCTTCTTCATTGTTTTGAGCTATTGTTGTTGAAAATAAAAAAATCCTCGTTTTTTCTGAATGCTATGTATAACTTCTAAAACTAGTGAACCTTTACAAACTTTGCCTACTTACGAACAAATCACAAACCTTAAGTTCAAAATAAGGGTAATAAGGGAATATTATTAATGTCATTAATAATTTTTAGTTTCAATGCATGGGTGAGCCAAAAGAGTTTGTCTGTTCTGTCACAACTAAACCCTAATAATACAATTTTCGTTATTTCGAACCCTGAAACCTTACATGCATAATAAATGTGTGCCTTAATAAGTCCTTAGAGTGACAAAACTACTAAAGGCCAACACATGCTTCATAATAGATATTTTAGTCTATAGGGAAGCACATCATTGTGGTTATGACAGAATTGTGCTTTAAAATATTTCATGGTACGGTATAAAAAAGTTTAAGATGTTTCTATATACCCCGCAGAAAAATAAAATTTTTACCTGTTCATTGACCTCAGAAAGTTTATTGTTTAGCGTAGTAATCTTATTTTGAAGCTCGTTTAGTTCATCTTTGTCTTCTTTTGCTTTGTGACTGAGTATGTCATACTAAAATAACAGATCCAAATGTTTTTCAATATTCAGTTACAGTATTCAACAGTTATGTATGCTTCAACAGTTATTTAACAATTTCTATACAGATTATTGCAAGCTTTAAAAGATTACAAATTGTGTTTGTGCAAACAGGCTTTGACTTTGACCATAAGATACCAGCTAGGATACAGGTACCAGACTGTGGTTGGATATTGTAAAATTCCAACTGCTAGCTAGACAATCAAATACAGATTCTACTGACTGACTGACTATTGTAAAAAAAAGTATTTCTATTTACTTTCAACTTCAGATCTTCGGAAAGTTTCTTTTCATGTTCATATTTTTTCTTCCATGCCAGAGACTTTTGCTTTTTCCTATCAATGCAACCTTGATAATCTGCCACTGGAATTTGAACATGACAGACATTGCATGATTTGACCTCATCACCCTACAAGATAACAGATATTTTACAAATTGTGGATTCTAAATGTATTAGAATGACAAAAAATGGAGGCTATTTGGGCATTAAAATTGACAATATTCTAGTCCACTATGATGTCATTCAACAAGTATTTGTGTCCAGAAAAATCAGACATGGAAAGTTTCACCAATTCATCTTCCATTGTTAACTTAAATTCATCATCTTTACACTTTTTGGATTTAATTAGAACTTACTACTGATAATAAATAGATACAAAAGATCCACGATTCATGATCAACCAAACATAGATGCCAGAGACAGCAAAGGCATCCTCTTAATGTTGCCTCTTAATTATAATAGGATGCCCCTTGAATTTAAAGTATTGCATAGTAGTAAATTTGAAACCAAGGAGCTTCAAGGTTAGTACAATGGTCTGGTGGAGAACCCCAAAAAATGTACCTCCCTTCCCAAGTAATAGATATATATAGACCTATTGTAATCTGGGTACTAGAATTTGGTCAAATACAAAAATATAAATTATTACCATTTCTGACGGGGTTTCTTCTTGGTGTTCTGGCCAAGGTAATTCCGGCATCTATCAATTAACAAACAAGCGTATCAAACTTCACTTAGTAAAATAATCATAAAAATGGGAATCCAAGATATGGACTAGTACAAATTTATCTAGATGTACCTCCATAATTATCTCACAATCATATTATAATGAATAGTTTTTAAATGCGTACTTTTCCCCATCGAAAAATCACTGGCAGAAATGCGAATGAAAAATGGAATCAGTCATGATCGTCTATTAAGAGGAAACTCAGAAAAGCTGAGCAAATCTGTTCTGCGATTTCAAACACCATTGATTTGATCTCAGTTTTAAAAGTTGAAAGTCAAGTTTGTTTATATGATGCCGATGGTGGCGCAAACGTAATAAAAAAGTGTTCGCTACGAACCTCTATAGGTGACTGAGGACAAGAATCTTCGCCATCGTCACGACCAGAAATGCTATCAGCAACATTCTCATGTTGTGTACCTTGGTTGGTTTGAATGGTTCCCTTTGCTGCCATTCTCGATACAGTGATCCGTGATCGAGATCACTGATAACTTTAGAGCAGGCAACTTTAGAGCACGCAAACCGAAAATCTAACACGATGGAATAGATTCTTGAAGTACGTACGAAAAGCTACGAAAAGCTCGAACCAAAAAGTACAGCGAATTCCGTTTGACTCCAAAACAAAAAGCTTTCGCAACACTACCAACACACGTCGGTCGTAAACAACAAGCGTTCGCAACCAGTGTGACCAGAGCAGTGTGAAACGCAATGTATTATCACAGATTAGCTATATATATATATAGCTAATCTGCGCATTATTCAGTAAACCGAATAATGTATTATTCAGTACATTATAGTAGTAAAAGCAATTTGATTGGCTAATAGTTGACAGGATAAATCGCGCAATCAACGCAAAATTCAGTTATCTGCGCGCTGAGAGAAAACTGAGTTATCTGCAAGTGAGCCTGCGGTAGTTTACAAGCGGTATTCATTTGAATGTATTTATGTATTAATAATTGATGTATTTTTGGATGTTTCTATTAAATAAGGTTTTTCATTCGTTAATACTATGTTTACTATTCTTCAAATGTGTAAAACAATTATTGAATTCGGTTTTTGTGAAATGCAGAGTTATCAAGGTCTGCGCGACGCCCACGCACGCCATTTTCAAAGCTTTCAAAGCGCCTGGGTACGAGCCTGGCTGATAACGCTTACTCCGAGCTTGATAACTTTGCACATCCAATAATTGTTTATTATTTGACATGTCACATGCACTGTTTCCAAGCAATGGGCGGAGCGTTCCATGTGTGCTTGCAGTTTGCAGTTTGCACTCGTGCTTTGACATAGTTGCAGTGTTGTTGAAAGAAAAATGCTTGTGTTCATTTCCCATGACTGTGGGATCGCCCTTTCGTATGTATTAGCCTGCTCGCAGACAGCATCTCATGAGAACCCAAACTGTTGACAAAAAGATTCTAAGCGATGTTATATAATCACGTTGTTTTGATCTCAGGGAAACTCCTATATATTGTATTAGGTGATTAGTTAATCTAATATACGAGTTTTCCCTAGTTTTCCCTGAGATCAAAACAATGTGGAAACTAAAAAATATCGCTTTGTGGTTGTTGTCGACGCTCAAGTTTTGGGTTCTCATGAGTTGTCGCCGCTGCATGAATCCAAAGCCAAAGGTTTGCGCTTTTATTCTTTTATAATATAGCAGTATGAATATAAATCTAAAATGGCCATCTCTTAGAATTTTATATAAAGTCAAAACAGCGACAAAATCTGGGAAACAATCCTAGTGATGTTCAGCTTACTTGACTTATTTCTAGCCGTTTCATTCGTGCCACTTACGGCAAATATCTAACATGTTTGATAAATTCTGCCTCGTGTGCCGAAATCTTACCGTGTGCGGCAAACTGAAAGCTATCTGCTTATGGATTGTCTTAACAGCGCATGCGTAATATACGAAAGTAAACATCCAAGATAGCGGTGCAAACAAAGCAAAACGAATTGGTGGCTGAGGCCATATTGGAAAACAAACCATATTGGTGTTTATACAATGTGAATTCTACAGATTTTAGAAACAGAGAGAAACGGGAATGCGTTATTGCAGAAATAACTAGTAAGCTTTCTCAAACAGGTAATAAAATTATAATAGCACTTGGATAACGGTGTTTAAAGCAGAAGTCAAGTCTAGTCCGACGCAACAGCAACAAAAATAACAACACCTCTTCGACTTCGTCTTCACTTCCATCCATAATTTTGTTTTGCAATCTGTCCGCCATCTTGGATGTATACTTTCGTATATTACGCATGCGCTGTTAAGACAATCCATAAGCAGATAGCTTTCAGTTTGCCGCACACGGAAAGATTTCGGCACACGAGGCAGAAATTATCCAAACATGTTAGATATTTGCCGTAAGTGGCACGAATGACAAAAGTCGCCTGATAAGTCGCCCGCACACGAGAGCAACTGGCCTACGCAAATAGCCACGAATGACTTTTTGCTAAGCACATAGCTCTAGTGTGCGCCGGCCTTAAGGTTAATCACGGTGGGTTAATGAGGTCGGGTCGTGACAGAATTCTGACAGAATATCCTGTCATCCAGTAACAAAAAGAAACAATGGATAAAAAAACAATAACTTGTAGGACACGTTAGGAGATACATGCAAAAATATTTTTTATTCGACATTTCAAATTTCTGTATTCGACATTCAACTTTCAAATCCAACCGCAATCCAATTCTATAAATACATATTAAATGCTGGCTCCAATCACGCTCCAATAGACGCACGTGTTGCAAATTTGCGGTAATGGGAATATGGAAAATTTTAATTTCTATTTTTTTGCATTAAAATTTCTCTTAAATCTAAATTAATTCCTTATTAAATTGTTTCCTCGCTGTGACGCTGTTATCAGCAGAAACTGATGCTATGCTATGGCTGAAATTTAGTGGGTTTGCGCGACAAAAATTATATATGACGTATTTGCGTACAAATATATTTAACGAGTTACTTTTTTAACCATTTCTCTTTTTTAACTACTTCAATTTGCAATGGTTGAAACATAAAAGGAAGAACTTACTGGAAAGCGATCGCGTTTATTAATGATTGCGCTTGCCCATATAAATTTAGATGTGTTTAGACTTTGACTTCATGCCACAATAACATTACCCATCAGTCTATTAAAGGCCGATTGTGGTCTGTTAGGCACTGTTACGTCGCCTGTATAGACCGAAGAAGCCAAGAAGGCATTTATTGATATTCTATCGTTACAATCATAGGTACTTAACTCAACCTTCCAATACACAGCAAGCCGGACACGACCAATCTAACCAACACTGAATATAGTGGAAAAAGTTTGGGAAACGTGTACCCCCAACCAATGCATTGCTGTAAACCTGAGGTTTTGGGTTGCATGTAAAGTCGCTGACCAGATCATATGTTTTAATTACAATTATCTTATACTGTTACTCATCACCGGCCATGCATCGTTAACTATTGTTCAATGCCGGAAAAATATTAATATTCAACAAATTCCATTTTTAGTGGGATCTGCTGGGAAAATCTGGTTCATACACTGAGCCTATATTTCATACTAACTACCTTACAAAATTTGTATCCTATATTATTCTACCCTTTCCTATTTGTACCCTATTAATCAAATACAAAATTATTTATTAAAAAAAATACTGAAATAAATCAAATTTATAAACTGTTCTTTAAGGCTATAAGGCTATATAACACTTGAATGCTTTCAGCACGAGTTGAAGGATACACGCTGGTCCAACTTAGCTAAGTTTCTCCCACTCGTGCGGCTCATATTGTCAGCGGACAACTTACATAAAATTGAGAGCAAGGCGTAAAACGAAAAGCTTTTAATTTTTTATGCGAAGACCGCTGAAAAACTGAGCCCTCTTTACCGGGAGAAAATTTGCCGAATATGACCAACGTGATATAACACATGAATCGCTTATGAAGACAAGTTTAAGCTTCTGTCATCCGCATTTACTGCTCGTCTTCTTCTTCCTCCTCAATGACAGCATTGCCATTTACGTTTTCCAAAGCCAGTAACGCAGTGGTAGCCTATAAGAAAAATGGCCAGTAAGATAAACTAGCGTCTAGCGTACTCTGCATCAAGCCACAATATACACGTAGCCTACATAAATATATTTCACTGCATGTATATCAACTATACTAGCAATAAAAGGCACAATAGTGACTCGTCCACCGTTCTTTGAAAGAGTCTCCAAACAAATCATGACTTATTGCAAGGCTTTTTTTTTGTTTTCAGTGATCTTCGTTTGAGATCATGCATGGATTTGCCCGTTGGAATGATTCTCAGTGGTCTGAATTCGTTGGAGCTCATGGACGTTGTTTCACTTTTCAGTAAATTTCTTAATATAGGAGGACATTTTTATACTTTTTAATTCAGTTCAATCGTTCACAACGTCCTATACAACTTTATAATTTTACGAAAAGGGGTGGGAGAAACAACTCTAATAACACATCGAATTAACTCCAAACAGCATTTGATCGCTGACTATATATACGCGACAAGCACATGCAACTATACATGCGATTGAATGTCGAAATAATACAGCTGCCTCGTTGAAATGATATTGAGTGATTGAAGTAAGTCTTTTGGAACAAAACAAGTACGTGTTTTTTTTTGATGTCATGGATGTCATGCCAGTTTTATGTTATATACTAATTTCAATACCGCAAAGTCATTCCACGCTTCATTTCTATATAATCTCGGCTAAACGGTCTTTAAACATTTATATAACACGAAAACAATTTCTTAATATCATTAAAGCATTTAAAGAATAAATGTAGCCCATAAAATTAAAAGCACTTGTCGTGACGCACTCGCAAGCCATGTAGGCTGTGTATAGGTAGAAGTGAAGCCCGGCTTGCCAGGTTGGCACGGTTGCAATGCTCTACTTTCACGATTTTAACTGTGGTACCCAAAAGTAGCGGTATTGTGATCGTGACAAAAAAGTATTTCAACTTTTATATATGTATAAACATGCTTGAGGACGTGTTCGCAGTTCGTGCTTCTGATTTTTTGAATGCCGGAGGTTAAAAAACCCGGCATGCACAAAGTGTTATTAGAAGTTCAGAACAGCAATTTAACATATACAACCTGTTGACGATTTAACCATATATACCGGCAGCCTTGTAATTCCTCTTGGAGTCTATCAATATAGTGTTGATGGAGGTAATAGTACAAGAGTAACCAGCGGCACCTTATTTTTAACGTGTCCAATTGAGCATTACTAGCATCTCGTTCTAAAATTGCTGCATCTTTTCAACAATTGCGCTGTTGACCGCTGCCTCCTTTTCCACGACTGTTCGGTCCTTTTCCACGATTGTTCGGTCCTTTTCCACGATTGTTCGGTCTTTTTCCACGATTGTTCGGTCCTTTTCGGCAATATTTGCGTCTTTTGTAGCAATTTCTTTGTCTTTTGCAGCAATTTTTTCGTCTTTTTTAACAATTTCTTCGTCTTTAGCAGCAATCTCTACGTCTTTTGTAGCAATTGTTTCGTCTTTTTCAGCAATTTCAACGTCTTTTGTAGTAATTTCTTCGTCTTTTTTAGCAATTTCTTCGTCTTTTGTAGCAATTTCTTCGTCTTTTTCAGCAATTTCTACATTTTTTGTAGTAATTTGTTCGTCTTTTTCAGCAATTTGTTCGTCTTTTATAGCAATTTGTTCGTCTTTTGTAGCGATTTCTTCGTCTCTTTTAGCAATTTCTTCGTCTTTTTCAGCAATTTGTTCGTCTTTTGTAGCAATTTCTTCGTCTTTTGTAGCAATTTGTTCGTCTTTTTAGCAATTTGTTCGTCTTTTGTAGCAATTTGGTCGTCTTTTTCAGCAATTTGTTCGTCTTTTGTAGCAATTTCTTCGTCTTTTATAGCAATTTGTTCGTCTTTTGTAGCAATTTCTTCGTCTTTTTCAGCTATCTGTTCGTCTTTTTTAGCAGTTTGTTCGTCTTTTGTAGCGATTTCTTCGTCTCTTTTAGCAATTTGTTCGTCTTTTTCAGCAATTTGTTCGTCTTTTGTAGCAATTTTTTCGTCTTTTTCAGCAATTTTTTCGTCTTTTTCAGCAATTTGTTCGTCTTTTTTAGCAATTTGTTCGTCTTTTATAGCAATTTGTTCGTCTTTTGTAGCGATTTCTTCGTCTCTTTTAGCAATTTCTTCGTCTTTTTCAGCAATTTGTTCGTCTTTTGTAGCAATTTGTTCGTCTTTTGTAGCAATTTCTTCGTCTCTTTTAGCAATTTCTTCGTCTTTTTCAGCAATTTGTTCGTCTTTTTTTACGATTTCTTGGTCTTTTCTAGTAATTTCTGCGTCTTTTTCAGCAATTTGTTCGTCTTTTGTAGCAATTTGTTCGTCTTTTGTAGCAATTTCTGCGTCTTTTTCAGCAATTTGTTCGTCTTTTTTAGCAATTTCTTGGTCTTTTGTAGCAATTTCTGCGTCTTTTTCAGCAATTTCTGCATCTTTTTTAGCAATTTGTTCGTCTTTTGTAGCAATTTCTGGGTCTTTTTCAGCAATTTCTGTGTTTTTTTCTGCGTTTTTTTCTGCGAGTGCTCGGTCTTTTTCAGTAATTTGTGTGTTTTTTTCAGCAATCTCTTTGTCTTTTTCAGCTATTTTCTTGTCCCATTCCTGCAGGATGTCTTTTACTTTCAGAAGAACAGCATGGTCATTTTGTTGTTCGTTCTTAAGGAAAGAAGAAAGAATAAATATCAACTTTAGGTAAATGGTTGAAAATAATTTATAATTAAATAATTTAATAATTTAAGTTTATATAGAAAAAACGCAGGCATATGCATGCCTCAGTAATATGTGAACCAGCATTTAAAGTTCAGTTAGTTCCGTTAACTCTCGTGGGTTTCCGTGTCTTAAATTATGAAATACAATTGAAAAGAACAAATGAAATAACTGACAGAGAATTTCTAACGGAACTTGTTATCAACCAAGTAATCTTTAAATATGTTATAATGTTATAATATGCTATATATACCTGCCGTAACTTGAATTCCAAAAAAAATATATCTTTCTTCAAATTTGCTATTTCATTATTTTGATTCTGCACTTTTTCCCAGCAAATCGTAACCTTTAAATTGTAATATACGAAATTATAAGCACGTGCTAGTTGTCAGAATCAGTGTTATTAAAAGTTTTTACCGGGGAAGGCGTGGGGGAAATGTGACATGCACCCTCGCGATTTACCATGATAAAAACTTGTCACACGTCAAATTGCTTAGTTATTGGACAGAAAAATACAGCATCAACTTTGAGTAAGGCTAGTGATACTGTCGAAGCCAACAGATAAGTGACCGAAAGCTTGTTTTCAATAAATTTATATCCAGCATGGTCAGATAACGCGATATTTTTATTTATCAGGCTGTTTACAGATATATATAAAATTATATAATTACCTCTTTCTGTGTGAATTCCGCTTCCTTCTGCGACTAAAACATGTGAATTAGAAGAAAGTGCTACAAGGTTTTCAAATCATTTCTTGGTCACAGATTATTAAATGAAAAAGGCCACCAACATTACGTTGGACGTTATACGCTCTATACAGGGAAGAATGAACCATACAACTTTCCTAGCCTATTTCTTTTCTTGTGTGCTCGAGTTATGGTGTGTTTCGATATGATATATATATATATATATATATATATATATATATATATATATATATATATATATATATATATATATATATATATATATATATATACTATAAAAACCTGTTTGTTTTAATACAACTCAAAAACCACTGACCTGAAAAAACTACATTGCATGCAAGCAGGGCTAACTTAGATTTTGATATATAACACTAAATATAACTGATACGATGTTGACGGAGATACAAGCATTTGATGTCCCAGGTACTTTAAAATTCGTGAAAATATCGACAAGAATCAGCTATTAAATTAATTTGAAAATACTTGCCACTTCTCTTGGAAAGTTTTTAACTTTATATAGTGATTTTAACTTTAACTGTTGGCTTTACCATTGAAAACTTACTTTTAAAACTTAGTAAGAATTACTCTAAAGAATTTAGAAACCTCAGAGAACTTTGACAATTGCCAAGGAACCTTAAAGAATTGCGCGAAACAATCGTTTCTGCTTGTGAATCTTTGAATCGAGAAATGATCCAAAACGCTTTTGACTGGCATGATATCTAGAGCACGAAGGTGCATTCAGGCTCAAGAAGACGCTTTTCCTGATGAGTAAACTGTACTTGTTAATCATTTTGTAAATAAAAACACATCATTTTAGAAAAAGAATCAAAAAGTAAACTAAGACAAACAAGTGTGATGGTGCGTGCATGTCGTGGTACTCTGTGCCTAAAGCACAAATTTGAATCCTATGAGAAGGTCACCTTATATTTTTTTCTGCATAGTATTCATCCGTCATTATAAAATGAATTTACTACATGCAGTACGACTATAAGTGCAATAATACAATTACCTTTTGTTGATGGTATGCGTTGTCCGCTTCCAAGAAAGAAATTTTTTCCTCTAATCGAGCTGTCTTTGCCTTTTCTAGTTCCAACTAAATCAAGAAATAAAACAACACGCTAAATAAAATAAAATTAATCGTCACTTAGGCTATCAAATATAGTCCCCCGTTATTCAACCTCATGCACTTATATACTGTTTAATGCAGTACAGTTTATAAGACAATTTTGCATGAGAAATTTACTGTTAGATTGTTCTAAACGAAGACCGTTCAGTGTCTTTGTTTCATCCAGGATCTGTGAGCACGCAGTCAGCCTGAATCAACTCAGAACAACATGCTCACAGATCATCATGCACGTACATGACAAACAAGTGGCACTCACTCCATCCGTGTGACACTTTCCAAAACACCAAATTGGTTACATTCGCGACCGAAACATTAAATATATTTACGTCAAATACAACAATTTTTTAGTCAATGGACCGTATAAGAAAGCCACTGTTTTAGCATTTTTCTATATATCAAAATCTTTCGACACTATTGTGTATATTTGTATAGATCACATAATTCTTTTCGGAAAGGTACAATTGGTGCATGTGTAGATCTTCGCCGGATTGCCTTTAAAGTTACCTTTCAGGAAGAGGTAATTGGATAAACAAAATTAACATAAGTATAAATGATTGTATTTGTGGAATGTATACTATAATGCAGGACGCCGAAACTGATGGGCTATATAACACGGACAGCCAACCCTATTGCCTTTTACCAGCACGGATTGTTCTGCAATTTGTTAATATATCGAACGCCAGAATTAATGCAACTAATGGGGCTTAAGAAATGCACAATCGACTGGTGGTAAGAAATGTTCACATAATCGATGATCCCAGTTCACATGATCGATGATCCAGTTCACATGATCGATGATCCATGCATGCAGTTCACATGATCGCGCGAGTTAATTCCCCACCACCTACATCAATCCTGTCCCAATCTACATCTTTTGATGGTGTATATAGGAAAGGCAGTTTATCTACATTGGCTTTCAGAAGAATGAAAGGAACAACTCCACCTTATTTTTGTGAAAAACATATATAAATATGTCAGAATGATCTGGAAATAGATTCTGGAAAGCCCTTACGGGAGGATCATTACAGGATATCAATCCCCGAGTAATAATAATAGGTTTAATATTCGTTGAAAGAAGTAAATTAATACAAGTCTTTCCCTTTGACTGTTTTTTGGCTAACGAAGTATTTGAAAACCATTTAAACTCGGTTATGAAATGAATTTCTGAACTTCACACCGTGCAGTATTTCCTTTCGCGGTGATGCGAGATAGTGAAACTGCGTTGCCTAAATAATTTCACAATTTTCCCATCAAAACCAAGAGAAAAAAGTCACAAATGTATTAAAGAGCAGTAAACTGTGCACCAAAAATTATTAGACAACTAAATAAATTGCAAAATAATAAAAAAACCGTGTTTACAATACGTTACGTAACAGGAACAGGCCTAGACATGACTGATTAGACTGAAGCAAAGTTTGACGACGCTTCTGAAAATCATATATGGCAACATTTCACGAAAAGCCTAAATTTTTTAGCTAAAGCCCTGTGCTAAAGCTCAATCAACTAGGCCCAAATTGGTAGTTACTCGGCCTACATCAGATCTGGTCCGTACATAGTTGAACGAGATCTTCACTCGGTGTTGAACACTAAAAATCGTCGACGCGAGATAGTGAAACTGCGTTGTCTAAATTATTTCACAATTTTCGCATCGAAACAAAGAGAAAAAAGTCGCGAATGTATTAAAGAGCAGTAAACTGTGCACCAAAAATTATTAGACAACTAAATAAATCCCAAAATAATAAAAAACCGTGTTCACAATACGTTAGGTAACAGGAACAGGATAATTAGGACATGCATGATTGATTAGATTGAAGCAAACTTTGGCGACGCTTCTGAATCATGGCAACATTTCATGAAAAGCCTAAATGTTTCAGCTAAAGCCCTGTGCTGAAGCTCATGCCAGGCCCAAATTGGCTGTTAGTCGGCCTACGTCAGATCTGGGCCGTATATAGTTGAACGAGATCTTCACCGGTGTTGAAAAGTGAACACTGCATGCTTTATATAGAGTGCTTGCGTTGTCGCCTAAAAATCCCACCAAGGACCGTAGGTGTTTTTCTAAATAAGATGTTTTTGTGTCTTTATTCGCAAGTTCGCAACAGCCATTCAGACCATTCATATAAAATTATTTCGTCCTATATTCCCATTCGTTTGAAGACGCGCATATAAGTTAAATAATATATAAACAATATTCTCTTACCGGTGATGGCGATGCAGAAACACTTATGCTGCTGCTTTCCATTTTCCAAGGGTATACCAGTTGCTTTCGTACGTACGCGTCGACCGACTAGGAAATGCCTATTTATTAATTTGAAAATCTATTTGGCACTTCTTTATCGTTAGAAAATGATAGTTCACTGTCAGCTGTCACTGATGACTGACTAGCTCTATCTCTTTCGCTTTCTTTTATACCAAAAATTTCCTTCAATTTCCTAGAAATGGATGGTATTTTCCTTGAAATCTCCAGCGAAATGAAACAGCGAATGAAAATATTTGTCGGTTTTTAATTTGCAATCTACAAGCGATCTATAGAACTGCTTCAAAAAGATATATCAACCTGAATCGTTTTATCGACCCTACGTACTGAAAAACTCAAATTTGTGTGATTACGAGCAAGATAGGTAAAACCCCTTTTATAACAGAGATCAAAGGTTTGATACATTAGGTTCACGTGAACACTGAACAGGGATCTATTTATACGGTGTGGGTGCACGTGGACAGGATTCACGGGGCAGATATTGTTTATCATGCGAACACGATCACTGATCATGTGAAAAGGCCAACAGGGTTATAGCTACCTCCTCCGCAGACGCTAGGGAGCATTTCGGGCGATTTTGGAAAATGCGGATATTTTGAAAAATATCACCGCCCGCCATATTTGCCCGAAAAGAGCCTGCGGAGGAGGTTACGTAACAGCGTAAATGGAGGAGGTAAGTGAACAGCGTAAATGAGAGATGACTACTAATAGAAGTATACGTATGTGTGAAATGTTTCAATATATAACACCTTATTAATTTATTAATTAGGTGTTTTTAGAGTTAATAGTACATGGTTTAGAGACTAAATAAAAGTACAATACAACTCATTACCTATGTTATTGTCCAGGTTTATGCAAAAAATGGTTCCTTTCTCGTCGCGTGTCTATTGAATTTTAGCCAAACTTACCAGTGGCATTCGTCTTGCTAAGCTCCTCAACCTTGACTTGAAAAATATGTTAATTATAAGATTGCTATTGGTTTATCTGTGCAAAATACAATAGACATGTGATGAGAAAGGAACAATTTTTTGCATAAATCCACCTCAACATAGTTAGCGAGTTGTATTGTATAGTTTTATGTGGTCTCCAAACCATGTATATTCTATTAACTGTGGGTGTTTTCGATCGCGTGATATTAAATAGAAATTTCTATTTTACTGACGGTACAATGTAAGCTTCCACTGCACCGACGGTCTAAGCCCGTGCAACGTTCTTTCCATTACACTGTTGCTTTTAATAAACTCAACCACTCACAGAAGAATGGTTGAGAAGAATTTTTCCTCCACAAATACCCTCTCTAAGAAAACCTGTCATCTTTTTTTTTTCATAAGTGGCTCTTACAAATTGTTAATATCCTGGTGGCCAGCAAACCCAAAGCCCAGCCGTTGCAAAAATTGCAACAGAGCCATTGGCCATACATATATCAAACTTAAACTTGATGGACGTCGCCCGTGAACGCAAGCAAGCGCTTGAACTTTAGCAATTTTTGAGTACAACTATTCTAGAGTCCAGACCAGGAGTCAGTGTACGACGCTCGTAGATAAGTAAAATGAAAAGCAATTTAAAGCACTGATCGCAAAAACCTGAATTAAAACAGAACACGGCTAGTAATAGAACTCAGATTATTGAATAATCATTATTGCTATGGCCAAAATAGTAGATCGAACTACAGCAGATAACGATTACATAAATGCTCTTATATATAGTTTAAGAATTAGGATTACCTCTTAAAAGCATCAAGATCGCTTACACGATCTATGGCTTCAGTAGTCATCGTGGTCATTGCGCAACGAAATTCCATTGGCAAATCCAATGAAGCTATCTATATAGGCGAGCCGGTCGATCGATATATATGATCCACACCTATTTCAAGTCTTGTTGTTGTCAAATTGGTCTTTTGCTAGTCTTAAAAGGCTAAAGAACTCACATGTATGTATTTTGGGTATAGAGAAAGTCTTCCCATGCATGGTTGGAATAGCAACCGCGGGTTTGGCAAAATTTGCATGCATTGTTCAAAATTTGCATGTTCATGCACTCAGGCGCATTAGCTTAGTTGAAAACACAAGGGGTCAGTCAAGGCGATTGCTAAAACAAAGAAATGGCAAATCACAATTGCAAAGAAACGGAGCAGCGATGCATTTTAAATTAAAATGAAAGATATTTCAAAAGAAAGATATTTCCAATTTGTTGTTTACACAACAAATTTACAATGATAGTCGTGATTTTTAGTCGTGGATCGAAGCATTTCGAGTCTATTTGTGTCTATACGATGTTTGAGGATGAGTGAATTCATGCACGTATAAGAAAAAGGCAAAAACTATATACCACATATTATTCACAAATTTATTTAGCTGTGATTTTACAGTTAATTCTCAATCATTTTTGTTTTAAGTAACCGGCCACTATTTGACCATAGGCATATAGGTGGTGTGCAACTATTCTCGTGCATGGGACTTATATAAGGGCCTTATATAAGACAAAGACATTTTCACCATGTTGGATGACATTTGAATTGTAAAAGAGAAAATTTGTTAAAATCATCCAACATGGCGACGATGACGAAACGTGCACACCACCTATATAGCTCACTTACACCGAGTTAGTATAATACTAAAATACCAAAATACTCTTCGAAATAAAAAATCTTCAAAAGTAAAGGACTGTTTGCACGATCACGCTTATCCGAGTTACTCAAAAAGTGAAAAGATTTTGAGCTATATTAAACTTAAATCTTTACAAAACTAAGAAAGCTAGTGCTTACAACAGTTTCAGTACACAAAAATATATATTCACAAGAATTAGTGCTCATTTTTCAACTAAAAAATACTTAATACTCAAGACGTTTTATGTTTCGTTTAATCTCGGATAAACGGCATAATGTAAACTGTCTCTAATATATATATATATATATATATATATATATATATATATTATATATATATATATATATATATATTATTATATATTATATATATATATTTATATATATATATTTTTTTTTTTTTTTTTGAGTGTTTTCAGCTCCTAATAATTGAGCTGCAATTTTATCCCAACGCGGAATGCCTCACTGTCATATGCATAGTAATGACACGACGGTAAATTGATAAAGAAAAGCCTTGCGTTGTTAGCTGAATTTTATGGCGTCAGCAGTTGAAAAATATGATAGTTCAAGACGCTTTAAATGAGCGAACGGACGCGTGAGATAAAATTACACCTTAATCAATAGGCAGCTCTGTCCAGAAGATTCGAAATATATTGGTATTTTCATTTCTTTACAAAAATGTGTTACTCTGTGAAAACCAGCTCTATTATATTATTCATTCGTTATTATTAATTATATTATTCAATATTATATATATACCACTTGTCAAAGTTTGGTGTTCGAAAAGGTGTTCGTTATATACCACTTTGACAAGTAGTATATAATAAAAACTTATTTGCCGAGAACTCAGAAAACATTGTGTGTTGTGGACCCTCGACCATCGATATCTCGACGTAATATCGACAGGACTCGTGTCCACAAAACATGTTGTTATATGGATGCTGTGTATTTTAAATGTTATTGGTTCAGTCGTAGTCACATGACTTTAAATAAATGCAATGTTTCCCGCCAGGGAAACAAGTGAAAAATTGTCGCCCGCTTCTTGCCATAACAAAGTAAAGTGGGGTTTTTAAATGAAATTGTTGTGTAACATGTATGTTTTTGTTCCAAAATATAACAAAGCACTTAATGTACACTATACCTCGGGAAATAGTGAGTTTTGTTTTCCCTCGAGTCTCAATATTTCCTTCGACTTCGTCTCGGGAAACATTCAGACTCTTGGGAAAATAAACCCCACTATTTCCCTCGGGAGCATATACATTAAGTGTATAATGTTTCCTTCGGTCGCAGCAAATAAGTGTTAATTATTTCCCCTTCATCAATAATCGCGTGATAACTTCATTGCTTTCGACTTAGAGTTTTCAACAGTTAAATATATTGCAAGGTTAACTCCCATGAGCTATGCTCAAAAATGCAAACCGTCCTTTTTCAACACATTCACTATTTTTTTTATTTTGGAAAATAATTTGAGAAACAATAAAGTTGTGACGTAATTATTTGACGCGTTCATTATTACTACAACCAACTTACAAATGATTAAACTTTAAATATACCTCCCCGTTACTCACTTTTTCTCTTACCACTAATGACCTCGTTGGGTGACAGACAAAATAATATTTGCTTTATACGTCGAATTTTGGTCGCTCCGAATGCAATTAAGACAATTAGAATGCATAATAAACCTCATTAACTACGATTACGTCTACTGTTTAAGTTTCAGGAAAGCTTGAAAACCAAAGCCTCGGTAAGGAGATAAGATTCAATTTTGGGCATGCTTGCTCTTTATCTCTCATTGAATTTAAGTAAGATATAAAACGGCAGGTAAGTCGAAACGTCGAGAAGTGTTTTGTCTATTTTAGGCAGTTCTTATACCACATTTGATGCGAAATTTTCGTAGAAGACGCTGCTCTGTAATACGCTGATTTATATCCTTTCAAGAAAGACCCAAACTATATATATCATCTCATGTAAAATCAAAGCATGTGGTAATTTGAGAAAAAGTGAATAGACGGTTAGGTCATCTGGTAATAATCGTGATTATGTTTACTCTATTATATAGCTAACACACATTCACTAATTTCTAACCATGTATAAATTAACAAGCGCGCCCAGCGCGAAATCTAACGAAACACGCACTGCGAGTTTATTTGAACGCCTCATACTAATATCCAGTATAGGTCAGTGTTTTTCCCAGAAAAAGGTTCGTCAGACAAAGTTTCGCGTGAACGGATGTTCATAGCCTACCTTCAGGTCGATCCGTAATACCGATTCCCTAGCGCCTCTCAATCTGCTGCAGGGATTATTCCAAGGAAATTTTATGACCGCGCAAAATCGCAAGAAATGGTAAAATTTACGCAAATACAAAGTTGTGCCTTAATAAAAAGCTCTAGTTGCCCTGTATCAACATAAGAACACGTGTTGATTCGGCAACTCAGTTTACTTCATTTACCACAATACCGCACTGCACATGCAGAATTCTCTTAGAACTGCATGCACATTAATTATCATTGCACCTTAGCCCTTAGGGCCTGTTTACATAGAGCGAGTTATCCCGGCTAGGCGAGGTGAAAACTGCATATAATGAAAGACTAATCAGGTTAAGCCTTTGATGTGATACGCTTTTTACCTCGCCCAGCCGGGATAACTCGCTCCATGTAAACAGGTCTTTAGAAATAATCCCTGGTTCTGAGGCACTTGAAGAATGGTTTCGAACCTCCTATTTGGTATACAACATATACATGCATATATTTAACATAAATTAACATACATATATTTCTTTAAATCAACCTCAACTCCTTTCGCGAAAGGTGAACATCAATTTTTTTTTCATTTTTTTTTCTTTTGAAAGGTTGATTATGCCTCTTTACGGCTTTTCATTTTTTTGTGTTTTTTTTGCCAACTCATTCTCACAGCGCTATATTTTGCGCTACATTCAAACAAAGGAATAACTATACGAAATATACTCAAAGAGCTATGCATCCATGAGCTATGCTCAAAGATGCAAACCATCCTTTTTCTTTCGAAAGCTCGATTACGCCTGTTTGGCTTTTCATTTTTTTGTGTTTTTTTTTGCCAACTTATTCTCACAGCGCTACATTTTGCGGTATTTTGCGCTACATTCACAGGAAGTATACGAAATACGAACAATCACAATTCAAACGTGTCGAAACGTGCAGTGCCACGATTACACGCAGCCCTGTTTTTGGGTGTGCATGCGGGCGATACATATGTTGCGGGTGTATTGTATACAAGTGCTTATATATAATTCCGACATACCGTAGAAAACATTAACCGCTTTTCGCAAGCCTATGCATGTATCCGACATATGGTAAATATTACACAAGAACGACTATATTCTAAAAACCATTTCTACATGCACTAAAAACCTAAAGCACTAGTTAAAAGTCTATGTCTAAAATGTCCTAAAAAGCTAGCTACCATAGGCAAATGTTCACTACAATGTTCTAAACACATATGAAGATTTACTACAGGATACGCCCTTTCTCATAACAATACGAAACATACAATATTACTTACATCTAAATATCTGTGCTTAAAGACCATCTAGGATAGCTGTGCACTATATTAATGTTTCAAATACTGAAATGTATTAAATACCTTACCCTTAAAATGCGGCATCAAATTTTCAGTACTCAAAATGTCAACTGCCTTGGCTTCGCCACTACTAGTTGTGGTGCTGTCCAACGATGGTGCTTAAACATGCATTCACATAAATTTACAGCCAAATTAATCATTCGCCTCTGGAAAGTGGTCATTCTCTTCAGCACGAGGTGCAGCAACAACAGGCGGCTACAATGGAGACAGTTTAGGTCACGCAAGGAAATACGAATATAACAAACGAATCTCTTTTATAACCCATTTTAACTAACTCATAACTCTACCCAGGAAACCTAAACTATTCGGTAATTGGCAGGTGCAAGTCAGGGCGGTAGGCTTAACTGTATATTCATACATTCGTTTCATGCCCGACTTATTTCTTTTGTGCGCTATTGTTTACGTTCCTATATACGCGGTAATAAACATGAATATATGAATATACAATCCCCCCTCCCCAATTAAGCGGTTTAGCTACGGCCTTCGTGCAAGTATTCTTTTCTCAAAGCGACAGTAAACTCACATTATCCTCATTAGGCAGCTGTTGTTGTGGTACTAAGTTTCGTGTTCTGTTGATCTAATAAAAGAAACGAGCTGCAATGACGCCGAATGTTTGTTGATTGGAATCATGGAAAAGGTGAAGGTTCTTTTCACCGGAATCGCATCGAAGCTTAAGGAATCTTTTCAAATTAAAGATATTACTTAAAATACGCGGTTACAAAACATTGCGAGGTGTTTAAACTAAACATACGAAAATAAACTGTGTTTGCGATTTGCGAAGACATATCATTATTATTTGTTTCTTCTCCATGTTTCTTCTCGTTTTCTATGTGTGATAGCGATCATTTACGCATGCGTGAAGTTTGATAAGACTACAAGAAAACACACAAATGCCTACCATAAGTCGAAACACTTGACGCAGAGCTCCATCGTATTGTACGCGATCTTCATGATCCAGGAGCGATATGTGTAACTGCACAAGAGTCTCCGACATTTCATTCAATCTCGTTTTGTAAAGATCAATCTAGACACAAAGAGCTTCAGTTTTTTACATCCACCAAGACACAAATTCCTTTACAGAAGAGAACTTCAAGAAAACCGAAATGCACGTATATTATATTAATGATCACTGAGTTAAATAGCTAGGTTTTAAAACTAGAAATGTAGTATCTCAACTGGGGAGGGGTTATATATAAGCGCTATAGTTACGTGAACAAAACCAAATTTTCTGCTCGATGGAGGTAGATTATCGATTATCGATTAGATTTTCTTACCGGATGAAATAACCCAGAATGATATGATAACGTACCTGTTCCTCTTGTTGCTCCACTTGTGAATACAAGTCATCCCTTATCTTTAGCAGATTAGTTCTACTTATTTTCGATTCATCCGAAGCACGTTTGACCTAGACGAACATTTGCAGATAAACAAGGTACAGACTATAGTATATTAGTATATTTTCAGTATTGAAAAATGGGCTTTGAGCATTCTGATTGGCTCCCTCAGCAGTAACTCTGAGGCAATAGTTACTGCTCAGAGCAGTTTGAGCAGTAACTATTGCTTTTCCCCAAAAAAACATGGCTGAAAATACTCAAAATCAAAATTATATTCATAAAATAAACACGTGTATCAGTTGTATTTATAAATAAAACTTTTTCAATACTGAAATTATACTAAAACAATTAGTCGCCTCAGGCTCGGTGATTACAAGTCTATATTCACTTCGCCTTCGGCTCAGTGAATATAGGCTTGTAATCACCTCGCCTTCGGCGACTAATTGTTAAATAAAGCTTTCAGTGAAACTATCGATATAATGTATTCCGGTTCAATCAAGTACAGTAAAGGTCTGTTCACACGATCCAATTTTGTTGGATCCAATTCACCTCTGACGTATGAGATATAGTCAGTTATTGATAAAGCAGTACTGCATTGGCTTCAGTGCATTTGCTGCCCATATAAACATTACAATTTTTCGTCCAGATTGCCGTTTGGTTTTTCATGCAAATGGTGTGCATGCAAAATAGGGAATTACCGCGGTGTGTATATATCAATGAATATTATTTACCTGTTGTTCTAAGTCTTGCTTCTCTTTCATCAAACCATCTATAGTTGTTTGCATCGCTGTGAGTTCTTCTTGCTTTTCACGTAACATCTCCTCACACGCTGCGAACTGTAAAACAGAAAGCCGTAAGCATCGAACGTGTTATTTTACTCCATCTATTGACTATCTTTAATAGACTGTTATATCCGACAGTTGAAAATTACTAGCAGTGAATAGTAGATGCAATCAGAAACAACAAATATTTAGCCGTTGTTCTGACTCAATTGAAACTTCCTCCTTTAAATGATCTATAAATAAATTAAATGCATTTGCAATTCTTGTTTTTCATGCAAATGGTGCTGACCGCTATAACAGGGAATTAATGTGATTCATATTATTTACAATTATTTACCTGTTGTTCTAATTCTTGCTTCTCTTTCATCGAACCATCTATAGTTGTTTGCATCGCTGTGATTTCTTCTTGCTTTTCACGTAACATCTCATCACACGCTGCGAACTGTAAAACAGAAAGCCGTAAGCATGTAGACGCGTTATTTCGCTCCATCAAGGATACTGATCAGTTGAAAATTACTAGCAGTGAATAGTAGATACAATCAGAAACAACAAATATTTAGCCGTTGTTATGACTCAATTGAAACCTCCTCCTTCAAATGATCTATAAATACATATTTGCACCTCTTGTTTTTTATGCAAATGGTGCTGACCGCTTTTACAGGGAATTAATGTTAAAAACTATTATTTACCTGTTGTTCTAATTCCTGCTTCTCTTTCATCAAACCATTTATAGTTGTTAGCATCGCTGTGAGTTCTTCTTGCTTTTCACGTAACATCTCATCACACGCTGCGAACTTTAAAACAGAAAGCCGTAAGCATGCAAACGTGTTATTTCACTCCATCTATTGCATGAATATCGTTACTAGACTGTTATATCCGTCAGTTGAAAATTACTAGCAGTGAATGGTAGATGCAATCAGAAACAACAAAAATATTTAACCGTTGTTCTGACTAAATTGAAAGTTCCTCCTTTAAATGATCTATAAATTAAATGCATGCATTTGCAATTTTTGTTTTTCATGAAAATGGTGCTGACTGCTTTTACAGGGACTTAATGTAAATAATATTATTTACTATTATTTACCTGTTGTTCTAAGTCTTTCTTCTCTTTCATCAAACCATCTATAGTTGTTTGCATCGCTGTGATTTCTTCTTGCTTTTCACGTAACATCTCCTCACACGCTGCGGACTGTAAAACAGAAAGCCGTAAGAATGTGAACGTGTTATTTTACGACATCTATAATATCTACATATCAGCAAGTCTGTGGCAATAATATATGCAAGTATAATATATGGTAATTATTAATCAGCAAGTCTGTGGCGTTTCTGGCTGCGTAGGTCTAGAATACCGGTCAGTTAAAAATTACTGGAAGTGAATGGAAAAAGCAATCAGACCCACAATGAATAGACCTTTCTTATAATGACGTCAAACGCGGAAAATCTGATGTTACACGAAATTTGATTGGCTTGATAGTTTTGTGCAGCCAATCAAACTTCGTGTAACATCAGACTAACGTTTGACGTCATTATGAAAAAGGTCTATTCTGATGCTCCTTTTACCACAATAATAGTCAATATATATAAGATTTGATTTGGTCGAAAAACATTTACCTGTTCTTTCATTATATTTAGCTAGAGTGGATTATATTTAGCTAGAGTGGATTATATTTAGCTAGAGGGGTCCAATCATCAGGAATACATGTATATTATCTGCTGCAATCATTGCAAAACTATTAAGAGTATTTGCCATTACACACTTACTTAATGTTACTAGTACCACAGAGCATACAGAGGTTTGACCTTGCATTAATTATGCGTTCCTAGCGGCCATTTTATGATGTTGTTAGCCAGTGCGCTAAAGAGAGGCCCTATCCCCCCGAACATTATAAATAGCCATCGCTATATAAATAAACAGATCGCTCCCAATCCTATACTCTTCTAAAGGATAAGGACTAACAAAATCTGGTTTTGAGAAAAAAATTGAGCAACGTTTTTGTCAAAAATACGATTTCTCCAGATAGTTCTGTCTCGGCTGTTTATATTCCATTCATGTGTTCAAGCCGCCGCCATATGCATGCTTTCCCGGGGGGAGAAGGCCTCTCTTGAGCGCACTGGCTAAGCCAGGGGTACGCAAAATTAACGGCAGTCAAACCTCTGTATGCTCTGTGCTAGTACCTTGTTTACCAACCATACTCAATCAATTCTTATAAAAGAAAATTTAACTTCCACAAAATATTTACCCATTGTACTGACTCAAAAACTTCCGCATTCAAACCATCTATACTGGAAAATTTAATTTAGTTGCAAAACATTATACCTGCTGTTTAACTCCAGATTTTCTTTCTCTAAATTATCTATATTCCCTTCTTTGCCACTACTTCACGCAAAATGTTATCAATTTTGATGCAAACTGTAAAAGATGCAATTTTTTTGTGAGGCCATCTATTTAGGTAGTCCAAATTTCATTATTCTCAAATCCTCCTGAGCCTGAAATCCTCAACTGATTGTTACCCTGAGTTGCATGACCTTACCAGTGACACACACCCCCTATGTCCCTATGTGCATGTCAGCTGTGACACACAGCCTATGACACCCTCAAACACCCCCACCCCTTAGCATGTGATGTAATTGTCAAGTCAAGTATGTACAGCCCCTAACAAATGTTAATGCATGTTTACCCTGTTTATCAAGTTAAGTCAGCCAATCATGCAATTCATTCTTACATAAGATTTTACTATGCAAAAACCATTTAATCACCATTTTTTGTGACTGATCAAGTTCCTTTTTCAATTGATCATTATGTTCCAGCACTGACTCTAGATCTTTTTGGCTTTTAAGCCAATGGCTGTTACCCTAAAAAGAGCATGTAAAACAACACATATTTAATTAAAGGCAAAAAGCATTTTACAAAGCATTTGAAACAATTAATATAACAGTTGTCATGGATATGATTCAATATAGTGATATCACATTATAAATGCATGTTTATTACCTCTTGTAATTCCAATTTTAAATGATATATCTCTTCTTGCATTACTAAGTTTTTTTGCTCTTCTTCATGAACCTTTTCCTCCAAATTTGTACACTAGTTAGTGGAATATATTTGTACAAAATAATTTAGCTGTTTTAATTTGATTAAATTATTATCATTCTAAAATAATAAAATTATTTCAATCACTGGCTGACATGGGTATGTGTGTAAAACATTCTGCCATTTCCTTTGACATTTTTTTTCTCAGTAGGCAATGTGCATTTAATATATATACCTTTTCATTCAATGCCATGTTTTCATTTTGTTGCTAAAAATGAAGCCTCCTCGCCGGTTCTTCGACCTACGTCACTATTCCCTGTCTTACGGGGTATTAGTTTGCCGGCCAAAATAAAATGGCTACCCAAAATCGCTATTTTCGATGCAGTTTCGCCTTTCAAAATATATCAAAAACGACGCAAATCAAACTCGTTTATAAAAAATATGAATTATACTAGTAAACTATACTTCTTATATTTATGAAATAAATTGGTCGATATGCACTTTATAAGTGGCTACAGTCCGTAGAATAATTTAATTAAGGGTTAGAGACTGTTGTGAGTGTTTAGTTTTCAAATAAACGCACGCGCTGACCATACAATGAACGAGAAATTTCAATACGCTTTGCATGTTTATACTCTCAATCGCTATTTCTTTACGTAAATATCAAGAACTGTCGGAATATTTAAAACTATACTTTGGATTTGTGTAGTCTATACTTCCAAGTTTCAACTATTAAGAATGTAAAAATTTACCTGTTCTTCGAGTTCAAGTATCTCATTTTGTAATTCATCTTGGATAAAGTTCATTGTACGTAGCCGAAGCTGCATATCCATACTTTCTTGTGCCATACGCAACATTTTACCCTAAAAAGTTCAATAAGGCAACATAAATTACGTTACAAATAGGTAAAAACCATTCACTAACTAAAATATTTATAATCTTGCAACTGCAAGTTGTGTTGCTCTATACTAAGGTACTGACGTCACAGGGGGTTACAGGCAGGGGCAAGGTATGGAACAACCCAACCACTAGTTAGCGAGCCGGAAAACTTATATATAATCAATCACAACGCATCCCTCAACTACCACTCGTATATCAGATCCCCTTAAGAACCACAAATCAAACGCTTTCAACATAATAAAGACCTTTAAACCCCTAGAATTTACGTGCATCGAGTGAAGTGCCAAAAATCATAATTGATTTGCTTTCAACATATAAACAAAGTCTTAAATTAAAGAACAGCGCGAAACTTAAATATCGAAGTACAGAGCCGAAAGTTCACAAACTGCATGAACAAATGATGTGCTCGGATTACAAATCTTTAAACATTTATACAATACCATGTTGTATAATTTCAGTGATTTCATTCAGTTCATTAAATTTTCAGCGAGAGCTAAGGGACCGGTCATTATTTATACCCAGGGTTGGGGCCGAAGAGAAATTATTTTAACTGCCAAAAATTCACCTACCCAACCCAACTTGAACCAGAAATTTGGATACCCCACTATTTTTAACTTTAAAAAATTTTTACCCAACCCTGGCAGAAATAGTGCATTGTGTGAAATGTGCTAATGATGTGGAACATGTTAGTAATCAATTTATGAAAAGATTTGATTCAAGCACTGTTCGTGAGAGTGAGGAGAAACGTAAACTTAAGAGAGCAAAGGAGCAGAGGTCAAAGGCAAAGAAAAAGAGACAAACTGTCAAAATGTCAAAACCAGTCAGGCTTAATGTAGAAAATGATTCATCAAGTGATGATCCAATTGATATTCTTTAAACAGATGATGAATTTTAAGTATATTTTGTTCAATTTCATATCTTCAATATTACATTGTTGTTATTTTGAAAAATTGTTACAATTTTCTTTTTACCCAACCTTTTATGTCATGGATTTTTCAGTTACCCAACCATTTTCTCTTCGGCCCCAACCCTGGGTATAAATAATGACCGGTCCCTAATGACACTTCAAATTTTCAGCGAGAGCAAATCACAGCAGTCAAGTTGCTTTAAAAATAACAATTTATAACGCAATATCACCTCTAGTTCTTCTATCTTTTGTTTCATTGTTGTGTTTTGTTGTTGGGCAACAGTTAGCTCGTCTGACTATTAGGTGTAAAAGGGATAATTGTTGTATTAATAACAATACGAGCCATCTTTACGAACTTTATCTATCCTTTGTGGTAAATCGGTAATAATTTCATGTCCAGAGACCACGAATAAATCCTAAACCTGGCCCTAACCCTCACCCAACTACATAGTGATACTAAAGAATTAGAATCAAGGATTATATTCGTGGATTCTGGACATGAAATTAACAGTTTACCTTTTGTTCAAGATCAGCCACAATTTTAGTAAGAGAAGATTTTTCCTCCTCCAAACGCTGAACATTATCCTGATTTGTTAACATATCAAGTTGTCTTTCGTTTATCTCACGTACCAGGGTTTCTCGCAAGTTCTCGTTCTAAATATGTTAATAGAATGAAAATGCATAAATAGTATGTTGTTCTTCAAAAGACCATTTCAAATTTACACGTGCATTGGAACATAGGATGCACACACTTTCTGTGAAATGCTCATGCATGTTCTCGACAATTGACACTTGAGAAGTTTTCCCATTTTAACACATCATTCATACTGAATGACGAATGAGATTTCTGTCTTCCTAGATCATTTACTATAGTCAAATTGATCAAGAATAACCTTTCTTATATAATGTCATCAAACGCGAAATGCCAGATGTTACTTGAAGTTAACTGGTTCCGCAGAACTAGCAAGCCAATTACACTTCGAAGACAATATGGAAAAGCATTTCATAAATTTTCATGTTTCTTTCAGTTAACACTGACGTTTTACCCCAAGGCCAATACCATGCATGCACACACCGTTTTCACTGAACCATACATTTAGAGATAAGGTGATATCCTCCAACTCTCACTCGCTGAAAATCATGTATAGCATTCTTTTGTACAAAACGGGGACGCGAACAAATCATCAATGGTTACGTTTATAATTTTACCTCTTCTACTAGGTCCTCATTTTTGTCCACCAAGGCTTCATTTATTTTCATGACATTCGTCATTTTCTTTTTTAATGATTGAATTTGTGCATCCTAAAATTTCGTAGTTTGACTTATAAGGTTTTTAAAGATTTTTCATATTCCTAGTGAAAAAGTATACTTTACATATGTATGACTAACATATTAACTCTCCTGACGAAGGCCCTTTATAAGTCGAGAGTTTTTCGTTATTTTTGGCAATTGGACCACAAGGACCTGCATTTCCATGCCGACTGAGAAACTCTATATATGTTTGGGTCATTGGCGTTTGGGAGACGATTTAGGGAGGGGGGCACATATTCATATATTCGTGTTAACAGACCTGTCAAGACAATGGATTTGAAAAGAAATTAATCTTGCACAACATGAATATACGAATATGTGCCCCCCCCCCCAATTATCGTCCCCCGTAAGCCACTGTGTGCGCAATTTTTTTGCTACATCGTGCTTCTATAGTCACGGAAATTTCTTTCAATTAGTTCGTCGGTCAATAGACTTCTTCCAGGTTATAATCATAATCCTTAATTAATAATAATCCTTCAGGGTTAGTAGTTAGGTAAGGGTTTTGCATCAAAATGACATTTGTGGATTTGGGGCATGCATGGATGTAATAAGCTTGGGAGATTATCGCGTAATAATCTTAGGCTAGGTGGTTTATCAACATTACCTTATCTCCGATCTCTTCAGTCGTCTTTTGCAATATACCTCTCTCCTCGTTAGAATTCTTACAATAATAAGTTAGAAAATTTGAAGATTAATTTATAGTCGTGTCAATACCTCTTATTATTATATGGCTGAGGTAAATGCCGCTTCTTTAGTTTAATCCTGGAATTTTAAAAGCTAGTGATGCGAGACGATCTATTCATGTGCAATTGAGCAACAATTTCCGCTGTCTCGACAAGAGCTTTATAAGTTTATATTCGCACTTAGAATATGTATCAAAATATTAGAATATGTATTAAAGAATATGTACCAAATCTACGACGTGGACGTGACATGAAAACAGCCACTAGTGTTAGGAAACCAGTTTTAATTTGTTTTACACACGGCTTTGACTTTGTTTAACAAAAAAGAGTCTATAATTTTCATCCCTGTTGGGAAACCGTCGAAATTAGAGCAGTTTTGTTTCACGTCCACGTCGTAGAATTTTATCTTGCCCGCTGTGAAAACATTCATTATAGAAATCAAATTTTGGAAAAAGAAACGAATAAAACTAAAAGCTATATGCCGTACAATGACGAAGAGGAGCACTCCACGAGAGTTGTACTATCCTGGGGAAGCAAATTACCCAAATCGGCAAATGCCGCGTTTGAAGCCGAAGAATCAACGCCAAACCTCGTTAACCATTAACCTCGTTTGCTCGGTCTGTACCACTGGTCTGTACGGGAAAGCATTACCATCGGTTTTTATCGCACAAACCTCGCTCCTTCGTCGCTCGGTCTGTACGAAAAACCTCAGGCAATAGTGAATACTTTCCCGTACAGACCTCGCACTCGGTTAATAAGTAGTCAATCTTTTGCGAATATTTATTGAGTATATATACCTTTTTCATAAGCTTTAATTCTTTATTTTCGCTTTTGACCTTTTTGTAAAATAGTTTTAAACAATATAAAAAATAAGTTACGATTATACTGAACACAATACAATTTTTCAAGACACAAAATTATCTTTACCCTTTCGTTCTCCTTACGAAGTTCATCATTTTCACTTTCCAGCGATGCAATTTTTTTGTCATGCGAAAAAATTGCATCCCTTATTACTTCTTTAAATTGTTCTTCTTCAACAATTTTAAGCTGTTTTAAAAAATGATTATTAGAAAGAGTAATTAAATATTTGGTTGTTCAACACGTGAAATTAAGCGTTACATTTCAGTTGATGTTGGTTTTTTTTTATTTTTGATATCTTTACTTTTCTAATTTCATCAAAATCTGTTATACATAGTGTTACACATGTTATACAAGATTAGCAGCGGTTACGGACCAGTTCATGGTCTAATAATGTGTTGCATACATTTTAACATGTCAAGCACTGCATTTTTTATGCTCAATAAATGTTTAATTTGTGTACCAGCAAAACAACAGAAAAAAAAATTACAACTTATTTCTCTGCAATAGAACAGTTTGGATGTAGAAGTAAAATAAAAATTGGCCTTATCCAATCTGAAAACTGACAAAAAGTTTATAAAAAATCTATGATATAATCATAATATAGTTGAAAACCTGTTTTTTTCTCCTTTCCTTCACAATTTGACGCTCCCTGAGAGGCATATTTCCAAGGCTTAGACATTGTAATGTCTCATCATTATTATTAACCTACAAAATGATAAAAATCATACCATAAAATGTGACTTTTAAATCTGCACTTTAACCTTACAATCCAGATGTACTATAAAAACTCTATGAGCCAGTTATGTTTGTAGAAAAAATATAAAAATATATTCCTAATTTCTCAAACAATATCTATTACTAACATCAAATGTCACAATCACTAGACGTTATTGTATTTTATTTTGGCATGCAATCATATGGTTTGTGGTCTACCTTGAATAGCTATTTCAGTCATTGAATACAAAAATAAGACCTTTAATTATTTGGAGGTGATGTCAATGCAATTATATTATAAATCATATTATAAATTTTACCATTTCAAAGGAAAGTTCCTGGTTATATCCAGGTTTGTACAATGCTATCTGATGGGAACTAGAACTCCTTTTATTATCTTGTGGAAAATTATTTTGTGTCTAGAAATAATGAAGTTGGTTACACAATGGCAGGGATGAAAATAAGGAAAACACATTCCACTGGTAATTTTTATAAATTCTAATTAGGAAAAATATTTGAGAAGTACTTTTGCAAGGAAAGATTGGCATTTAGATATACTTGAAAATGTGTATGGTGAAATATATAGTGAATCATGTACTGTTTTAAATTTAATGATTAATTTTTGTACTATTATGCCAGCGACATGCAGAAAATCATCTACATGGCCAAAAACTAACAGCATGGAACAATCAACAATGTTGTGCTGCCATTATTGTCAACAACATTGTCAACAACATTGAACAATGTTGTTGAAAATGAATCGGGTGTAACAATATAGTTGGATGTTGATAACAAGTCTGAACAATGTGGGCAGCACAACATTGCTCCATCCTGTTCATATCAATATTGCGTCAACCTGATTGTTTTTAGGTGTGTATATGAATGAAATTGTGATAAGCAAATTTAATCTACTGACAAAAACTTATGTTTACGTAGGTAGAAGATGAACCAAAACCTGTTTCTGTTCCCTTTTTTTTTGTAATTTACTTTTCTGTAAAGGTGTTTCACAACCAACTACAGCAACTAGCCTAGGTGATGTCTCTTCATCAACCTACAAAATGGTAAAAATCAATACTTTGAGCTATATACTAAAAGAAACTATAAAGATCTTGTTTATTAAAATAGACATCATTGTTTCATTTGTTTGCACTATATAGCTTTCTTATTTGCCATTTTCTATTTTCTAACACAACAACCACATTTAATGTCCTATTATGTCCAACATTTGATTATAAAAGGTCTGTCATCCTATGGTTGATGTCATCCTATGGTTGAACAAAACCCAATCTAGATAAAACCTGGTAGATATCGTTACAGAAAAGTACCACTGAGCTGTATTAAAATTCCAGTAGTTTATATTTATTTATTGAAAAAAAAATTACAACTTATTTCTCTGCAATAGAACAGTTTGGATGTAGAAGTAAAATAAAAATTGGCCTTATCCAATCTGAAAACTGACAAAAAGTTTATAAAAAATCTATGATATAATCATAATATAGTTGAAAACCTGTTTTTTTCTCCTTTCCTTCACAATTTGACGCTCCCTGAGAGGCATATTTCCAAGGCTTAGACATTGTAATGTCTCATCATTATTATTAACCTACAAAATGATAAAAATCATACCATAAAATGTGACTTTTAAATCTGCACTTTAACCTTACAATCCAGATGTACTATAAAAACTCTATGAGCCAGTTATGTTTGTAGAAAAAATATAAAAATATATTCCTAATTTCTCAAACAATATCTATTACTAACATCAAATGTCACAATCACTAGACGTTATTGTATTTTATTTTGGCATGCAATCATATGGTTTGTGGTCTACCTTGAATAGCTATTTCAGTCATTGAATACAAAAATAAGACCTTTAATTATTTGGAGGTGATGTCAATGCAATTATATTATAAATCATATTATAAATTTTACCATTTCAAAGGAAAGTTCCTGGTTATATCCAGGTTTGTACAATGCTATCTGATGGGAACTAGAACTCCTTTTATTATCTTGTGGAAAATTATTTTGTGTCTAGAAATAATGAAGTTGGTTACACAATGGCAGGGATGAAAATAAGGAAAAACACATTCCACTGGTAATTTTTATAAATTCTAATTAGGAAAAATATTTGAGAAGTACTTTTGCAAGAAAAGATTGGCATTTAGATATACTTGAAAATGTGTATGGTGAAATATATAGTGAATCATGTACTGTTTTAAATTTTAATGATTAATTTTTGTACTATTATGCCAGCGACATGCAGAAAATCATCTACATGGCCAAAAACTAACAGCATGGAACAATCAACAATGTTGTGCTGCCATTATTGTCAACAACATTGTCAACAACATTGAACAATGTTGTTGAAAATGAATCGGGTGTAACAATATAGTTGGATGTTGATAACAAGTCTGAACAATGTGGGCAGCACAACATTGCTCCATCCTGTTCATATCAATATTGCGTCAACCTGATTGTTTTTAGGTGTGTATATGAATGAAATTGTGATAAGCAAATTTAATCTACTGACAAAAACTTATGTTTACGTAGGTAGAAGATGAACTAAAACCTGTTTCTGTTCCCTTTTTTTTTGTAATTTACTTTTCTGTAAAGGTGTTTCACAACCAACTACAGCAACTAGCCTAGGTGATGTCTCTTCATCAACCTACAAAATGGTAAAAATCAATACTTTGAGCTATATACTAAAAGAAACTATAAAGATCTTGTTTATTAAAATAGACATCATTGTTTCATTTGTTTGCACTATATAGCTTTCTTATTTGCCATTTTCTATTTTCTAACACAACAACCACATTTAATGTCCTATTATGTCCAACATTTGATTATAAAAGGTCTGTCATCCTATGGTTGATGTCATCCTATGGTTGAACAAAACCCAATCTAGATAAAACCTGGTAGATATCGTTACAGAAAAGTACCACTGAGCTGTATTAAAATTCCAGTAGTAACCAGTTATCTATAATATATTTAAGGTTGTTTGGGTGAATAACTTGTTTTAAGGAGTTAAAAAATATACAATTTTAGTTGACTGTTCACGAGCTTCCAGGTCATTGTAATGACCATGGTGGTAATTTCGCCACTATATCATAACAAATATAAGTTGTCAAGCAAATTTTATCATTAATCTTTTACTCAAAAGTTTATTATAAAAAGTTCCAACAGAAGTGTTATTTTCTGCTGGCTAAGGTACGAAAGAAGCAGAAAATGTTCTCTCACACACTCGAATGTCAGACTCGATTGGCCCGATGTGATCACATCATATGATCGAAACGTAGTATAAACAGTCAAAGAAAAATAATCATACACAAGAAGTCAAGAACCACCTCAGTTATATAACAAATATGTACCAAAATCAACAATAAAACACGAGAAAATAAAACGCATTTATATTTGACACACACACATTCGTACTTCGTACCTCTAGTTCTGTTCTACTACTCTCAGTCAGTTCGTGTTTTAAACCCGATGCTTCCATACTCGTACTTGACATAACGATGTTTACAATGATAACAGTCAGTATTTGATTTATTTGGACTTAGGAGTGACCTTTCCTTTCCCAATGAATGAAGACTGAAGAGAAGAGAATGTCGCAATCGTCTCGCAATGCCTTTATTTCACCGGTCACGTGCACTGAGGTCACGTGTTTTTCGTTGCAACCACTGAGCTATGTAAAGTTTCTGGAGCACTTGCTCTTGGCCACTGTGGTTATAAGCCCATGTTACGGGTCACGGAATATATAATTAGAATCGCGGAAATATATAACACAGTGTTTCCAGTTTTCTGTGTTTCCATGTTTCTATGTTTCTTATTTCTATGGTTCTAGTTTCTATGTTTCCAGGTTTCTACGTTTCTGTGTTTCTACGTTTCCGTGTTTCCACGTTTCTGTGTTTCTACGTTTCTATGTTTCTATGTTTCCACGTTTCTGTGTTTCTGTGTTTCTGTGTTTCTGTGTTTCTGTGTTTCTGTGTTTCTGTGTTTCTGTGTTTCTGTGTTTCTGTGTTTCTGTGTTTCTGTGTTTCTGTGTTTCTGTGTTTCTGTGTTTCTACGTTTCTACGTTTCTGTGTTTCTGTGTTTCTACGTTTCTACGTTTCTACGTTTCTGTGTTTCTGTGTTTCCATGTTTCTGTGTTTCTGTGTTTCTACATTTCTACGTTTCTGTGTTTCTATGTTTCTATGTTTCTATGTTTCTGTGTTTCTATGTTTCTATGTTTCTATGTTTCTATGTTTCTATGTTTCTATGTTTCTATGTTTCTATGTTTCTATGTTTCTGTGTTTCTACATTTCTACGTTTCTACGTTTCTGTGTTTCTATGTTTCTATGTTTCTGTGTTTCTACATTTCTATGTTTCTACGTTTCTGTGTTTCTGTGTTTCTGTGTTTCTGTGTTTCTGTGTTTCTGTGTTTCTACGTTTCTACGTTTCTGTGTTTCTGTGTTTCCATGTTTCTGTGTTTCTACATTTCTACGTTTCTACGTTTCTGTGTTTCTACGTTTCTGTGTTTCTGTGTTTCTATGTTTCTCTGTTTCTATGTTTCTATGTTTCTGTGTTTCTACATTTCTACGTTTCTGTGTTTCTACATTTCTATGTTTCTACGTTTCTGTGTTTCTATGTTTCTATGTTTCCATGTTTCTATGTTTCTACGTTTCTGTGTTTCTGTGTTTCCATGTTTCTGTGTTTCTACATTTCTACGTTTCTACGTTTCTGTGTTTCTACGTTTCTGTGTTTCTGTGTTTCTATGTTTCTCTGTTTCTATGTTTCTATGTTTCTGTGTTTCTACATTTCTACGTTTCTGTGTTTCTACATTTCTATGTTTCTACGTTTCTGTGTTTCTATGTTTCTATGTTTCCATGTTTCTATGTTTCTACGTTTCTGTGTTTCTGTGTTTCTGTGTTTCCATGTTTCTGTGTTTCTACATTTCTACGTTTCTACGTTCTGTGTTTCTATGTTTCTCTGTTTCTATGTTTCTATGTTTCTGTGTTTCTACATTTCTACGTTTCTGTGTTTCTACATTTCTATGTTTCTACGTTTCTGTGTTTCTATGTTTCTATGTTTCCATGTTTCTATGTTTCTGTGTTTCTTTGTTTCTGTGTTTCTACATTTCTACGTTTCTACGTTTCTGTGTTTCTGTGTTTCTACATTTCTATGTTTCTATGTTTCTGTGTTTCTGTGTTTCTATGTTTCTATGTTTCTATATTTCTGTGTTTCTGTGTTTCTGTGTTTCCATGTTTCTGTGTTTCTGTGTTTCTACATTTCTACGTTTCTGTGTTTCTATGTTTCTATGTTTCTATGTTTCTATGTTTCTATGTTTCTATGTTTCTATGTTTCTATGTTTCTATGTTTCTATATGTTTCTATGTTTCTATGTTTCTATGTTTCTATGTTTCTATGTTTCTATGTTTCTATGTTTCTATGTTTCTATGTTTCTTTTCTATGTTTCTATGTTTCTATGTTTCTATGTTTCTATATGTTTCTATGTTTCTATGTTTCTATGTTTCTATGTTTCTATGTTTCTATGTTTCTATGTTTCTATGTTTCTATGTTTCTATGTTTCTATGTTTCTGTGTTTCTACATTTCTATGTTTCTACGTTTCTGTGTTTCTGTGTTTCTATGTTTCTATGTTTCTGTGTTTCTATGTTTCTATGTTTCTGTGTTTCTACATTTCTACGTTTCTGTGTTTCTACATTTCTATGTTTCTACGTTTCTGTGTTTCTATGTTTCTGTGTTTCTATGTTTCTATGTTTCTATGTTTCTATGTTTCTATGTTTCTATGTTTCTATGTTTCTGTGTTTCTACATTTCTACGTTTCTGTGTTTCTACATTTCTATGTTTCTACGTTTCTGTGTTTCTATGTTTCTGTGTTTCCATGTTTCTATGTTTCTACGTTTCTGTGTTTCTACATTTCTACGTTTCTGTGTTTCTATGTTTCTGTGTTTCTACATTTCTATGTTTCTACGTTTCTGTGTTTCTGTGTTTCTATGTTTCTGTGTTTCTGTGTTTCTGTGTTTCTATGTTTCTATGTTTCTGTGTTTATACATTTCTACGTTTCTGTGTTTCTACATTTCTATGTTTCTACGTTTCTGTGTTTCTGTGTTTCTGTGTTTCTATGTTTCTCTGTTTCTATGTTTCTACGTTTCTGTGTTTCTACATTTCTATGTTTCTGTGTTTCTATGTTTCTGTGTTTCTATGTTTCTATGTTTCTGTGTTTCTACATTTCTACGTTTCTACGTTTCTGTGTTTCTACATTTCTATGTTTCTATGTTTCTGTGTTTCTGTGTTTCTGTGTTTCTGTGTTTCTGTGTTTCTGTGTTTCTGTGTTTCTGTGTTTCTGTGTTTCTGTGTTTCTGTGTTTCTGTGTTTCTGTGTTTCTGTGTTTCTGTGTTTCTGTGTTTGTATGTTTCTATGTTTCTATGTTTCTGTGTTTCTACATTTCTATGTTTCTGTGTTTCCATGTTTCTATGTTTCTGTGTTTCTGTGTTTCTATGTTTCTATGTTTCTATGTTTCCATGTTTCTATGTTTCTGTGTTTCTGTGTTTCTATGTTTCTACGTTTCTGTGTTTCTGTGTTTCTGTGTTTCTGTGTTTCTGTGTTTCTGTGTTTCTGTGTTTCTGTGTTTCTGTGTTTCTGTGTTTCTGTGTTTCTGTGTTTCTACGTTTCTACGTTTCTGTGTTTCTGTGTTTCTGTGTTTCTGTGTTTCCATGTTTCTGTGTTTCTACATTTCTACGTTTCTACGTTTCTACGTTTCTGTGTTTCTACGTTTCTGTGTTTCTGTGTTTCTATGTTTCTCTGTTTCTATGTTTCTACGTTTTTGTGTTTCTAGATTTCTATGTTTCTAGTCTTCTAGATTTCTATGTTTCTGTGTTTTTGTTATTCGATGTTTCTATCTTTTGGGTTGTCTGGCGTCAGTACAAGTAAAATATCATAGTGCCACAAAGGGTGTTACAGTGTTGATGAGATTATATATTTTCAAGTGCTTGTTTTGCAATTTGATTTGTTGCTGACGTGGCAAAATTTTCCCCCTATTGTACGCGGGTAGTAGGCGTAGTAAGTCGTCTAGTTGCATTCCGACTAACAAGTAAAATGTATTTGTAAAATACCAAATTGGTGTTACAGGGTTAATGTACGACACTGACTGCGACGGTGTAAATACAACCAGTAATTTTGTAGAAAACTAACAAATATTGTTAATTTAACATAATAAGATTCTTACAAGCGGAAAGCTCGACAAACCGCCATCACGCATTAGGTGATTATAGTGTAGCCGAGGTAGCTTTACCATTTTCAATAATCACTGGTTGTATTTACACTAAATAGATATAACGATATTGTTTTAGTTAATATTTCTTAGTATATATTTACTAACTAAAGTTACTTCTTGTTTAAATTTTTTCCGAATTTGTTCCAGAGTTTTATCAAACAAGGGCAAATTACACAAAAAATCGTGTTGTGTAACCAGTCCAATTAATTTGGTGTAAATCTTCTTAACGTCACTGCTATAATCATTAGAAATATTTCCATTTAGTCCTTTCAATGTAACATAAATAATCATTACTATTAAAAACTCTAGGCGATTGAACGGTTCTTCAATTTGGGAGTTTGTGCGTTCCTCGTAGAAAATGCGAGAGCTTTTGAATGGCGATGATTGAATTTGTTGTTTTTTTCGATAGCCTGATTTTCGCTTTCCCTTGACATTTTCAGAACTGATTACTCTGCAACTACCATTTTCCCCACAATGACCTTTGCATTTACACTTGTGCCAGCAACTCCCATAACGTGGTATGCACTTGCATCGGCTCTTATAGGCGCATTTTTTCCCAGGTCCATTCATCTTTGACCTGCCGGCGTTTATTCCACACCGACACGCTCCCCTATTTGAATTATCTGTCTTTTCTTTGTTTAATAAAACGCGGCCATTATCGTGGATTTCATTATTGTTCTCCTCAGCGTGTTGGTTTTTATGAACTAAGGCATCATAATGACCTGGTCCACCATGGTTAAATGTTAACAATATTGCTTCTCCATTCCCAATAGACGAACGAGGGTATATTTCATAAAATGGAACAAGATTTTGCGTTGATAGCACTAGTATCGGTATCTGCAAGACGTTGGACAAACCAAGTGGCATCAGGTCCCCGATAGTGGAAGCGAATACACCCGAATTTAAAAAAGCATGTGCTTGTTGCTGAAAGTCGACGTCCTCACCCACAAATTGCTGGTATTCTTCAGTGAAAGGTCCTGTCCACTCTGCGACAAGATGGCTTCGCAAAATATCACTTATTGCGGGAACAGAGACTGCTGATGAGATCCCCAAAGTATACAAATGCTCTCTAACATGCGTCTGCAAATCACATCTACTCAATAACTGCGAAACTTGAAATGCGACTGAATTAAAAAAGCAGTTCCCATCTCCTGCAATTCTGACGACTTCTAGACCCCACTGGCTTGCGATGGAGTTAATTTCTTGCTCGATGGTTTCCACAGAGCTGTCTTGTTGTACTTGTTTCGTGGTGAGAAGATGACGTGGCACCTCTGTTGGCAAGGTACGTGCATAGATATTTTTTCGCTTTCC